AAAAAAAAAAAAAAAAAAATGAGGGAGGCGAAAACCATAGCAAATGCAGTGCACGCCACGTTTGTACTTCTGCAAACTTATTGGGCACCTGGGTCCCTCTGACAAAGTTGCCCAGGATTCGTGCTTTCCAAAGGATGTAGGTTGGCAAACCATGCGCATTCCAGCATCCGGCGTCGACACAACGTTGGTCTCTGCACACGACAGCTTTGGCCGCCCTCGCACCCATGCGCGCAAAGTCCGTGGAGCTGCCCTCCCATTGCACATTAAACTAAGGATTGCACTTAACCCAAACTCCTCCATACCCCCCTTGCCGCTTGGTTGTCCTGGCCCTTAGGATCGGCGGCCGATGGAGCCCGGGAACTGCTCAGTTTATCCGATTCCTCGCGCGTTGCCAAACCGCGTTCTGCGCCTCCGTCGTTGCAGGGCGCCTGTGTCACAGCGTGTGGCAGCATGTCGCAAGCGAATCCTTGCCTTCGCCGCGGCCGGCCCTTGGCCACCGCCCACGCTCGGCGAGCTCCTCAACGAGGATCGTTTCCTTGATTCCCTCGTGGATAGCGGCCTCGGCCGGCGCTAGTCGGGCCAAGCTGCACGTTAAGGATATTGCAGGCCTTGGTGGGTGGACCCAAAAAACGTTTAGGATGGTAGAATTGGGCATGGTTCCGTTTTGTGCATGGAAATGTGAGACCTGAAAATTGAGCCATATAACTTGTAGTCAGGTCAAAACTGAGGCTCATGACCGGATCCAGGGGTTCACAAATTCGGCGAGATTTCGCAACGCCAATTCCTGTGAAAGAAAACCGTTCCTGGGAGAGTGCACAAGTAGTATGGGGGAGGTGCGGCGACGCATGCGCACACCAGCACCCAGCCTACACCCTCCGTTTCCAACACTTTCCATGGCATCGCCTAGGGTCCGTGGCAATAATCCATAGCAACCTTTTGGATGTGGGCGGATTCGTAGCAAACTCGGATTTAGATCGAAAGCCGTGCAGATGCAAAAACTGGATTGTGGGGGGGAGGGCGCGGCAAAGTATGCGCAGATGGCAAACGCAGCAACAGGAATGATTTCAGTTGTTGAGGTTCAAACCTGGAAATTGTAGAACTCAGGTTCGGATGCCCAAGTGGAGAGCAGAACCAAAAAACCGTGGGAATTGAACCGGTGGGGCGGTGTGAACATGGTCGTTGACTTTTTGGGACCATCTGAAGAGCAGTGCTCAATGCGCTGCATCAGAAACCGTCCGGCGGCGGCGTGCCTCCCCCTTGAATCTGCACCCTCCCAGGTCTTCCCGCCTGCTTCCTCGGGGGCCTGGAAGCCGGTTGAGCGTTGTCTGCAGGAGCTCCAGGCCCGTAGCCAGGCCGGTAGCCAGGCCGGTAGCGAGGCCGCGGCGCCAAGCCTCCAAGCTGCCGCAGCTGCAGGCGTGCACCTCGAAGGCCAAAGATGGGACCAGCAGCCCGGCTGGGAAGCGTGTCTACGCACAGCGGCGCCGCTTGCGAGCCCGGCGGCTGGGCAAATGGTTGGCAAAGGGATGCTGCCCTCGCACTCCACATTTCTTTCCGAGAGCAGGTTCTGCTACCGGGCATTCGGCCCAGCGACCGTGCGCTGCCGTTCCCAAGCAGGTCCACATGCAGGGGCATGGCTAGCCGCCATCCCTGCTGACCCCGCCACAACACTTGCGCCAGATATCATGCACCTTGCGCTCCGGCGCCGAATGCGTCTGCTTTTGCCTCTCACACGAGCCTGAGAGATCACGCCCTGGCGTGCCCGCGCACTGGCCTGTTGGCGCGCCGCGGTTTCGTGCCTGGATCCAGCAGAGGATCGACGACGGCTCGACTTCGTCATATTTATGGTGCTGCCGCACGCGGCGAGGCCCTGTGCTGCGATGCAACACTCGTGTCACCTGTCCGACGCGATGGCAGCCCCCACGCAGGAGCGCCTGAGCGGGATGGGGTCGCAATTGCGACGGCACAGCGCCGCAAGCTGGCACGTTACCCCGAGCTCACTCGCGGAGGCCCCCGTCGCTTGTGCGTTCTTGCCGCTGAGGTTGGGGGGCGCTGGGATGACGAGTCCCAGCGTCTGGTGCAGCACCTCGTTGCGTTGCGTGCGCGCCGTGCCCCTGCCACGCTGCGCACCGCAGCCTCAGGGATTGGCGAGGCGTTGGTGGGGTGCCTTGGCGGTTGCGGTCCAGCGAACAAGATGCAGCGCCGTCCTCGGAGTCTTGACAATGCCTCCGTTGCCCGCATCCGAAAGCGACGTGCCGCTAGCAGAGGTCCTCCAGTTCGCAGCTGACACGGCCTCCAGCAGGCTGCCGCTGCGATGAGGCCGTGCCGCTTATGTGTCGGCCGTTAGATTTCCGTTGCTGCCATGCCTGGGACCTGGACTATCGTCGTGCAGTGGGAAAACAAGGCGCGTGAAGCAAAAAGTCAAAAAGCTGCGATGCTGTCATCGATGGCATGTGATTCGCGTCGTTGCCAGCGCCTCGTGACGTGTACTGGTTTTTTTCTTTCCGTGGCGTCGGGGTGCATGTGGACATGGCAATGCTTGGAGGGCATACTGGCACCTCGGGCTGGCGCAGTGGAACAGCAAGAGCCGCGCGACTTGGAGGTCGTGCGATCGCAGAAAAAGTTTTGAGGAGAACGCAATGTTGCGCGGAAACAAGTTGGAAATATGCAACACCGAATTTGTCCGTTCCGAGCCATGGTTCGCATGTGGCACGCGGGTGTCGCCGACCGGTGTGTTCGGAAGTTGGGGCAGGAGGCGGGTCAGGGGGGTTGCACCCCGCGAGAATTCCGGATTCGCGACTCGTCGGCATTCAGGCCAATCCGAGCATGCTCGAGCAGGTGTTCAGGTGGGAGGTGCGCCCTGGGGAACTTGTCCTTCGGGAGGAGCTCCGCTGAAGTGCACGTAGGGCAGTGGGAGGCCGAGCGAAAACAAGGCAGCGATAAGAGGATCGCCTTGTTCACCCGCCTTACTTGGAAGATGCTGCGAGGCACCCCAGCACCGCCGGCCCACACGAACTCCCAGCCACCGGGCAATTAAACTTTCCCAGTCTGGCCAACAAGCAGTTGTCCCCCACCGGAAGCGATGCAAATCGCATTGCGTCACCGTCTGCTTGTGCGGTTGCGACTGGGCACTGCTGCGGGTGGCCAGCAGGACCACGGCTGCGTACGTCGGCTTGCCGTCTGGATCAAGCGCTCGCATGCCCGCGCACCGGTTGTCTGGCAAAGCGGGCCATATCGGTCGAGCGGGCGTGGATTGCAGCTTTTCTACAGGTAACCCGTCTGTTTGGGGCCCTGCCCCATGCTCAGCGCAGCGGCGTTCATGCGCATCCCGGCTCCGCCGGCCGCCGACTTCAGCCACGACGCACAGCCAGTGTCCCCCCCAACCGCAGTTCCAGGTGGCATCCTTGGCACTTTCGGCTGCATGGAGCGCGGCGCCGGCTGTGTGCTCCGCCCTAGGATGCGGCATGCCCGCGTTTGTGATGGGGTTCACGAGCGTGGCATCCCAGCACAGCGCGATGCTCCAGGAAAGACGCCATACACCACGGGGTCGAGGTGCCGGCGGTCCGATGCCGTCACGCCCAGGGCGGAAGTGTCCGGAGCAGCTTGGAGGGCCACAAACATGGCCTTTCGGCTGATGAGGTCGCAAGCCCCGACGCATCGACAGGGAAGACGGCCAGGGTGGGATCCTGATTGCAGCCAAAGCATACGGGTGGGCTTTCTGCCACCCGCAGGCGTGCGCACGGCCACCAAGTGGCCCAGCTCTGCGCGGGCACGGCGTTGCGATGCGTTGCGCTATCGCATGCCAGGGCATTTGCTGCAGCCGGGACGTCGAGCAGCAGGCGGACGATCCTGGCAGTGTATGCAGACGGATAGGGGGCAGCCCCGCATCTGGAACGGCGCAAAAAAAAATGGCAAGGGAAGCTTGGGAGGCCAATGCAACAGGCGCAGGCGGAGACCGCTCCAGCGCAGATGGCTCGAGTGGCGCGTAAGGCTGGGCACGCCGTCGGGTTGGATCCCGCAGCTGGGCCAACGTCGCTTCATCCCCCGGTTCTAGGGGACTCGCGAACACTGCTTGGTGAGCTGCAGAGGGTGTACCGAGGTGCGCAAGGTGGATGGCCAAGTTGGTACGTGCCTCCAGGTTTGGGTTGTCAGGAGGGCGACACCGAGGGCCACCAGACGCCTGAGCTTGCCGAAGCCATTCCTGCCAGTTCCCGCGGAAGAGCATGTCAAAGCGTACCCGAAGACTGGCTTGGGCATGCGGCTTGCCGCTGCGGCTATGCCTGCCAAGTTGGGAACAGCCTGGATTTGGAACAACGCGAATTGCCGTGCTTGACGGCGAGGTTCTTTGATGAAGGCCGGCGGGGTGTGGAAAGTGGCACAAGGCTGAGGGAGAATTTCACACTCATTGCAGGAATCAACGGCGGCAAGGGCATCTCGCAGGCGGCGGCCCTGTAGGGAGTTGTGGTCAAGGGCCCTCGGAGGCTCGTATGCAGACGCGATGGGTCATCACTGGCAGCAACTGGGTTGGGCTCTGGAGGTTCGACTGGCTCACGTGTTGCGTCTCCCGCCGCGTCGGTAGGCGGGGACAGGCGTTGTGGGGATGAGGTCTGATCCGTCGCTCTTCTGCTGGCATTGCTGTTGCTGTTGATGCCGTCGTCGCTCGTAGACGCGGAGCTGCATGGGCGCGGCTGATGGCACCGCTCTGCGGGTGCATCGCGCATGGGCGCCGTACCCGGAGCTCAGCAGGCGGTGCGCCTCTTGCGGGACCTTGTGTGCGTGTGACCGCCCGCCCTCCGCAAAGCAACAGCGTCGGCCTGGGCGAGGCGGTGGTGGTTACAACTGGTTGTGGCCGTGCAGATGTTTGGCCTGCGCCCACATGCGCGAGCGAGCCGCCAGGCCCGGTCGACAGGCCCGGAGCTCGACCAGATCCTGTACATGCCCGAGCTGGGCTGTCACGCCCGCCTCTGCGCTAGCAGCAAGATGTGCATGGCCAGAGGACAAGTGTAGATAGACATGGATAGACTAAACCGGACCAAACTTGTCGTGCAGGCACAACAGTGCGGAGAAGAAGAAAACACAAACTGTACGATTCGGTGCTGACATGGCGGATTTCCTCCGCCGCTTGGCGGCCGCGAAGGCGCGAGCAGCGCCAGCTTGGCTCCGGGCTGCAACGAGGCAAGCGGCTTGCCACCGGTGGGCCGGCATCATGGCCGTGGCCGCACAGCGAGCCCTAGCCTTCTCTTTGTTGGAGTTGCCGCCAGCAATGGCGGATGAGTGCGATGGAATTATGCCGCCGTCGGACGCGCACCACACATTTCTGGAGGCGGCAAACCGTCTGCCTGTCCACTGAAGCGGCGGGTAGGCATGCGTCGACTAGCTGCCGTGGCAAGGCAATACCGTTGCGGCCTACAGCTGCGGGTGGCGCCCGACCAACGTTGACCTGTGATGCAGGAGCAAATAAATCGCTTAAGAAAAACAAACTTATGGTTTCTGTCCGGAAATCCAATTTCGGCAATGTCCGGCTGAGCATAACCACGGCCTGCGGTGAGATTGATTTAAAAACAAATTCAACAGGGACATATCTAGGTCATGACCTTTCATGAAACGCAGCCCTATGTCAGGAACCAGTGCTGATGCCAGCGAACCTCCAACCAAGGCCAAGGGCAGCTTTGTTGCATAAGCTGGGACGCTTTGACTGTTGGATGATCTGATCCCCTTTCCGTGCGCGAGGCCGAAAACGCCGCTGGAGCGCCTGAGCCGACAGGTTGGCACGCATGTGATGCGGAAGTTTGCAAATATGTTTTGATGATATTTCATGACGTGATGTTGTGGTTTGGACAAGTAAATATTAAAAAAAAAATATCTGCAAGGCCTGTTGGCTGCCATTCGCGCTGCGGGGGCAGTGATGCAAAGCGGCGTGCTTGGAAGTTCCATTTTTTTCTGCTGTGTTTTGATGCTCGCGGAAGCCATGCACCTAGGGGAAGAACCGTGAACTATGCCACCCTTGGTGTGAACAGGGGCCGGAACCATGCAGCCGCATCCACATGTGATCGGTGCTGAATGGTTTTCACTCCGCGTGCATGTGCTGAATGTCGTGTTTGCCATGTCTCTGGCAGCAAAGCAGTGAAATGGGCACCTCATATGGTTTTTGCTGCCATCTAATAACTTGCTGACTACAAATAGTTAATTTTGTGGCCTACGATTCCGAATGTGTTCTCGTCATGAAGCGAAGACAGGCGGTGGAGGCAGTGTTGCAAGGCAATGGAGTAATAGCAAACGCAGTTTCTGAAGTTACTAGGTAAAAGTTGCCGGAGTTGATGAGTGGATTTGCAATCACACAGTCGCCGAAAACCGCCGCAACTTCACATCAAATGCATTTGGAGAATAGTGGAGGTCATGAATAAATCGTCAACATACATGCATTGTGGAGGTTCAGAGCGTTCAATGTGCAACCTAATGCACGTGATGCGAGGGGGCCGAGTTACCATGTGCAGTCAGAACACATAGAAGCTAATCACGGGCTAGCCATGCCGCGGGGACGCCGGAAGGTTTGCAAGGTGCCAGCTTAATTCCACACGGCTTTTGTCGAGAAGTGGGTTGCCATCATGACGTGACTGCCATGATCAAAGTGTGCACAGCTTTTCTGCACACGCAGCAAGCAGGCAGTCAAACAGAAGTTCCACGACTTGGATGTGAGCGGCGACGGCAAGCTCGATCTGCAAGAGCTGCCGGCCGCTGAGATTTGTGTGGTCGTATGGATGTTGCTACTTGGTAGTTTCCCAAATTAGGGACCCCAGTATAGACCCCAGTATACCATAGTCCTTATCATGGGGACCCTCAAAAAGAGCTTTAATTTTGAGCATGTGCTCATATTTCCGGTATGGCTAGCCGACCGGCTTCACAACGGAGAGCTAAATAAACACGAAACAAAAGCCCCGAACCGCCCCGAACCAGGCGTGTACACACCCGGTAGGGTCCAACCGCACAACTCAACCAGAGATTTCAGTCTTGCTGCATCTCCAAATATGTCTGCACCCTGGGATCCCAATTTTGCCTTGAACATTACACCCTAACTCAAAAATCTCTAAAGCTCTCCGCGACGATCACCCGAGAAAATTTGAACGACCCAGAGAAGACTAGCATGGCCCAGACGCAAGGATGACCCGCACAAATTGAAAAGTGTGCCAAGTAAAAAACGGAAAACCTTAAACCTTTAGAGCCCAGACCCTTAAACCCCTGAACCCCAAGCCTCTCAACCCTTAAGCCCACAAACCCCCAAACTAAACCCCTAAGCCCTTAAACCCCCAAACCTTAAACCGCTAAACCCCCCTAAGCCCTGAACCTCCAAACCTGGATTTCATGCGCGGTGCCTGCACCCTTTGCAGGTCTGTCTTGCTGAAGAAGGGGGACTCGCATTTGAAGGATGGGCTTGTGTTGCCAGTTGCCACAGTCAGGGTCTAGGGTTTAGGGTTTAGGGCTTTTACCCGCAACAATGGAGAACCAAACAGAAAAGAAAATAAGATGGTAACTGGGCTTGCGGAGAGGTGTGTGGCGTTGGTTGTAGCACCCCTGCATCACCTTAAACATGAATTGTGTCTATACCCCCGGAAGTATGGCTCTATAGTATATTAAGGTCGCGCAGGATTTCTCGTATCTACTGTATCGTTTTTTTTTTTTGTGTTTGTTTGCTGATACTGCTGAGTTGGCGTGCCAGGACGCAGAGATCCGAAAGTTGTTCGGAAAGATCGTCTTGATCTCAGACAAATGTCAGTATTGTTGCAGCTGTGCGGCCACGATTGGTCTCGAACGTGCCGAGATCGGCGCAGGGGCATGCGCTCTTCCCTAACTAGCCCGGGAATGCCTTGCAAAAGACTAATTAGCATCCTGTTGCCCTGATCCTTGCAGTGGAGCTGAGCTTCTGGCAGGCCCCGAAGAACGAGCTTTTACCTGGAAAAACAATTCCGCCTGCAAAAACAACGCAGCGGTATGAAATCGAAACTTTCCCCAAATCAGTTCATCCAATACTTACAGGTGCGCTTCTGCAATCCCTCTGCAACCCGTGTTTAGCCTGCTGATTGCGCAAGCTGTTCCCCGCGGCAAGTATCGGCTGAACTTTGGCTGCTAGCACTTCATTTTCCTGAATGTTAGCCCGGGTACATTTTTGGAAATTTCCTGTGGAGCCACAGCAGCTGCCTGCTCTTTGGTAATGCCATTTGAACTGACTTTGAACTCCTTTCCCGTATCATTAGTTTTCCTTTGCAGAGGTTATTGAAATCCATGATGAATTTTACTGTCCCCTATGCAATGGTGTTATGCATAGGGTACCAGATTTCAAAACATGCTCCAATCTTTTTTTCATTTCGGCTTCTCCTAGAATTCATGCCTGGGATGAGCGATCATCAATTGAAAAGTCTCCGAAACCCTAGATCCTGAAACTCCAAACACAGCATTCGCGTGCATCATATTTTGAGGATCAGAACAATGATGGGAGGATCGATTTTGCCGAGCAGCTGGCTTGGCACAGTGCAGTTAGCCCCTCCACCCCCAAATAACTTACAGTCCTGCCCTCATAATTGTAAGTGGACGCCATTGAGACTGTTACCAGAGCAGGGTGTCGGGGACGGTTTATGTTTGTGGGGATGATGTTTACAGCAGCTAGGTCTTGAAAGTTTTGAGTTGACACTGGTGAATTGGTGATAGGGGATTGTAGGTTCAGAGCTAGGCTTCGAATTCCTTTTCGGCTTCAGGGTTCATGGTTCAGGGTTCAGAATTTAGGGTGAGGGTTTCGGGGTTTGCATGTTATTTCATGAAAGATTCAACACTCTTCGCTCAATTTTCACGACTCATTTGGGCAGGGCATTTGCTGAAAGGGGCAAGGATCAGGTTTGTTTTCGCATAGATCTGTCACATAAAGATTCAAGACCATATGTTAGTCACATACAAAAGGTAGACGGAACTCTCTTTCATGTTGCCCCTACCGAGGAAACGGCTAAGATTGTAGGGTGTTGGTGCGCAGGACGCCCAGTAATGCAACTGGTTTGGCCTTGTGGACGCCATATTGTCCCAAAACGCGTAGCTCTGTGCAAAGCAAGGGCTGAAACCCTGGAGCTTCGGCCAACTGGTCTTGAAGAAGCCAATGCCTTTACTTGTGCCCTTCTACTCTACCGAGGTTTTGCGACTACATCTGGGACCTGGAGGATGTAAGCGCGCCCAATGCTAAGCCTCTGTGCCATTTACTGCTGGAGTTGTGTGGGCTGCCATGGATGTAGAAGTCCACCAATACAGCTCGAAAACTAGCCGCGGAACCGGTGATGAGGTTTACACAGCGAAAGAACACAGAGACACATACAGGCAGATAGGCAGATGAACGGATGTACGGAGAGACGCAGACAGAGAGGGAGGAGAGGCACAAGGGTTCTGGGATGTCATCAGGGCGGATGAACTGTGGCGTATGTCTCACGCCGGCCTGGCCAGGACATGGGCGGGCGCGGGGCATTGCCCTGGGAGTGTGGGAGGGCTCTGTTACGCCTTGAGACGAAGAAGAGAGACATAGAAAAAAGATGAAAGAAGGAAACTAAGAACAAACGAAAGAAAGAAAGACAACAAAAAAAGAGCGAGGTGGAGTCACTGCTTGGCCGCTGGCTGTTCGTAAGTGTGCTCAGATTCAGGAGGATCACCAGGACCTATGTCCACTGTCCCCCTTGTAGGTATTCCAGCCTAATGAAACCCTAAACCCTAAAGGCAACCCCAGATCCTGAGATGTCCCGCAAGTTTGGTTACACCATGGTTTCTTGGTGCAAAAGGGGCTTCCTGCGAAGTCCAAGCATGAGTGTACAGTGCAAAAGGTCCTTTCCCGAAAAAGTGGTCACAATACAAACCCCAAGATATTACGATATCTATGATTGGGCCCCCCCAAAAAGGGACCCCTCATTTTAACCTAAACCCTAAACCCCTCATGTTTGATGTTTTTCGCATTCCAGTGGAAACCTTCCCTCTTGCTGTGGTCCTGTCCACAGAATGCAAGGACTATAGGTAATACTGGGATAACAATATTGGGGCTATATAGGGATAGTGGAAAAGAAAATGGAAGCGACTCATAATAGGGTATATATTGGGGTAACATTGGGGTTTTTAATAGATTGGTGGCTTCCGGAAATCATGTGTCCATGGTTGTCCTGCTTTACTCTACATGTTCCCTGTTCCGACCGGTCCTGGACCTTAAAGAAAATATTCCCTTCCCCGTGATGACTAAACCCCAGTTTTCCTAATGACAATAATCCCCTCTATTATAGGAGCTATAGTCTAAACTCCTTGACAAAGGGTTATATAGGGGTTATATATAGGGAACTACCATAGGGCTGATGCAGGGGAATACTAGGAGTTTGGACTTTGGCTCCTATAGTGGTATTCTATGAGGGCTGCTTGATGCTGCTTGTTCTAGTTTTAATGTTGACCAGGGGGTGGGGATTATATCTTTCTCCTTCGACTGAGGAAACGCGCTCCACCCGAAGTTGAGGCTTCCGGAAGTTTGCGTGTCCTCACATTGCATGATATGTCTCAAGACGGCCATCCAATATACACTTACGCTTTCCTTACTGCAGGTTCCCTAAGAAGGCATCCATAGTTTCAAGGAGCCCATGTATTGAATGGGGTACTGTGCAACATATAGTCCCCTTAAATAGATAGAATATGGAATTGACCAATAGTAGAATAAGATCCCCATATGCCCCATATTCTATCTACTGAAGGGGAACTACAGGGCGGGTCTGCTTCTTTTTATGTTGCACGGGCTCCAAGCTGCAGCCAGGTTGACGGCAGTTGGGCCTTCAGTATCTGCCACCCAGGGAGTCACGGTGAAGGCGAAGAAGAACCCTAAACCCCTAGGGTTTAGGGTTTAGGGTTTCCTACGAAGACGACCGCAAGAGAGGCTTTTGCTCCAATTGCTCTGGTGCCCCTGCCTTGTGCTCACAAAGAACTTCAGCCAGTTACAAG